TAATGGTACTGAAGGGGGGAAAAAAATCTTGTCGGCCTTGAGTTCTATACCCAGTGCATATATCTTTCATAACTGAAGGCAAAATAAAGACATACCTTTCCAGACATACAAAAGCTGAAAGAATCAATCACCAGCAGACTCACACTATGAGAAATGTTAATGGAAGCCTACCAGTACAAGGAAGGGGATGCCAGATGTGAATATGGATCCACTCAAAGACGTGAGGACCACTAGAAAGGGTAACTACCGAGGTAAATATATGAGATAGGGCCTTATTACTTAAATTTATTGAAAAGGTAATTGAAGAAACAAAAATAATGGCAATATGTCATGGGATTTTATAACACATGTAGATACACATACTGAAAACCGTACAAATTATAGTTGTTTGGCTCAAATGTATGACAAAAATAAAGGTTGGCAGGGGAAACGGGAATATACTGTGGAAGGTTCTTATACTATATGTGAAGTGGTGCCATATCATCTGAAAGTAACTGTAACAAGTTATAGGTGTATATATACTGTAAACCCTAAAGTGAGCACTACATAGCAACAGTTATAGTTAATAAGATAATAAATTCTAAAAAAATTCTAAAAAATATGCAATCAGAAAGGAGGCAAAAAAAGAAGAGGAGGAAAATAAACAGGGGCTTCCCTGGTGGTCCAGTGGTTAAGGATCCACCTTCCAATGCAGGGGACACAGGTTCCATCCCTGGTTGGGGAACTAAGATCCCACAGGCCGCAGGGCAACTAGGCCCGCGTGCCTCAACAAGAGAGCCCACAGTGCTGCAAACTACAGAGCCCATGTACCTTGGAGCTTACGTGCCACAACTAGAGAGAAAACCTGCAGGCCACAACTAGAGGGAAGCCCGAGTGCTGCAGCAAAGAGCCCATGCACCACAACGAAAAAGATCCCACGTGCCTCAATGGAAGATCCTGCGTGCTGCAACTAAGACCCAACGCAGCCAGAAGAAAGATAAATTTTTTAAAAATCCAACTATATTCTGCCTATAAGAAACAAACTTAAAATATGGGACTTCCCTGGCGGTCCAGCTGTTAAGACTCCGCACTTCCACTTCAGGGAGCACGGGTTCGATCCCTGGTCAGAGAACTAAGATCCCACATGCCGTGCAGTGTGGCCAAAAAGTAAAATAAAATAAAATAAAATAAAATAGATACAGATAGGTGAAAATTAAAAGGATAGAACAAATATGCCAGTATAACACTAAATATAAGGAAACTGAAATGACTATATTAACATCTGAAAAAGCAGACTTCAGAACAAAGAATATTACTGAGAATAAAAGAATCATTTCATAAGGACAAAGGGATCATTTCATCAAGAGGACATAAGAATCCTAAATGTTTCTGCAGGTACTAACAGAGCTTCCAAATACATGAAGCAAAAACTGACAGAACTACAAGAACTAACTCCACAGTGATAGTAGCAGATGTCAACATCCCTATCTCAATAACTGGTGAAACAAGTAGACAGAAAAATCAGTAATGCTGTAGAAAAATTAAATAACTATCAATCATTATCTGTCCCTCCATCCATCATCCCTTTATCGTTCATCTACCCATCATTGTTTTCATGTTTAACCATCGAATACCAGCTTTTTTCCCAGTACTTGACTTACTGTTTCATCAATTCACACATTTTCTCATTAACTTATGAATCGTTTATTGATAAACCTGCCAGTCTATCCCCTCATTACTGTATCCACTTCAGCCATACTACCATCTTAAGTCATCCTCATGTATTCATTTATTTAACTACTGTTAATTCACACATCTCTTCATCCATGCATTCATACACACATTCATGCTGTTTACTTGAGAGAAAATTTCGAGAAAGCAGGGACTATGTTAATTCACTCCACAGCTGTATTCTCCAATGTCATACATTTTGGTTGTCACATGAAAGGCACCCAAAAGTTGTGCTGAATGATTGAACTCACCCATCAATTCATCTGTCCATTTGCTCAACCAACCATCTACTTATCTAAGTTATTCATCCATTAAATCCCTTCATCTATTAATTTTTCATGTATCAATTCATATTTCATCCATTCAATTAATCCAAGAATCCTTCATTCTTTCATCATTTCATTCATTCATTAACTTATTCACCTACTCATTATTTGTCCATTCATTAACTCACTCATGAATTCACCCATTACATTATTATTTTATCTGTTCACTCATTTAGTTTTCCATTTCTTCTACTTGCAAACTAACCTTTGGCAAGTTTTTAAACTTATTTGAATATCGGCTTCCATATATTCAGAAATGGGGCTAATAAGAGTTCCTATATTTCAAAGACGAATGAGACAATGAATGGAATTCTTTAGCACAATCCCTGGCACACAGTGCTCAATAAATGGTAGCTGTTATTCTTTAAAGTAGGTATTCAGAGTTCCTTAAGTTAATAATTCATGGACCCATTCCTATGTTCACTCTTCCATTCATTTATCTGCTCCATCCATCCATTCCTCTCTCATCCTTGATTTTACACATCTTTGAACTTTCCTTTCTAAAATACAAACCACATACTGAACATTGTACAAATCAAAGTTGTGTGGCTTGATGAAATGATAAAGGAAATACTCCTGGATTAACCTCCTGAGTCAGGAAGTAAAATATTGGAGAACCCTATCCCTCCCTTCTGAGAACCCTGCTTTCTGTGGCCCCTTTATCACTCCGGGGTGCAGGGGGTGGCAGGGGGCACTTCAGAGGAACAGGAGTGGTGAGACTTGGGATGTGTGGCCCCAAGGGCTGTGTCCTGCAGACTGGGGTCTGTAGGGAGGCCGCGAAGCCAGGGACCTGCATGCAGTGGACACAAGCAGGGAGCCCGGGGGGCCGGTGGCAGGGGTGTGGAGGGAGGAGGGCAGGAAAGGAAGGTGGAGGCCTGTGTGGTCTTGGCAGGGGGACTGCAAGGACCTCGGGGGCTTGGCTTTGGGGGGCGCGGCACCATGATGGTCAGCACTTCGGGGCTCATCCCTGGCCAGCTGTGAGGGCCACATCTCTGTGAGTCGGTGTCTTTTTCTCTGAAGTGGGAGTGTAACAGCATCTCCTCTCCAGGTCAGGCAGAACACAGAACACACCCTGAGCTTTTGACCACTGTCGCTAGGTGGTCAAAAGCTAGGTGCAGTCCTGGGACCTGAGCCTCACAGATGCCACGCTCCAGAACATGGAGGCCCAGCGGTAGCGCCGGGGCCAGGAAACCAAGCAGCACAGGGAGGCGGAGGCCAAGTGGTACTGAAGAAGGGGGTGGCGGTGGGGGGAGGCGGCCAGGAGCTCCTCTGACCCGCCTCCCCCGACCCCAGCATGAACCTTAAAGTGCAACAGCTGCCCAAGGAGCAGCAAGTGTCACCAACAGGTGTGCAGCCAGCCCCCAGGAAGGAGCCGGTGGGAGGAGGGAGAGCTGGGTGCTGAGAGGCGCCCCACGAGCCCCCAGCCTGATCCGGAGGGCTTCAGCTGTCCCCCCGCCGCAGGCCTACCGCGAGCTCAACCCGAGGATCCACGAGCACAAGGGTTAACGGAGGGGCGCGGGCATGGCTGAGCTCACTCGGCAGGTGGGCTACTCCCCCTCGGCGGGGCGGGGCGGCCCCCCTCCCAGCCCCTTCCTTATGGGTCCCGGCTGCGCCCAGCAGGCAGCGGTGGGGGTCCGGCCTTGCCCTGAGCGGAGCGTAGGGCCCCTCCTCCAGGCCATCAAGGAAGCGGAGGCCCAAGTGGACAGGCTCCGGTAGGAAGCCCAAAAGGTGGACGAGACGCTGGCCCTGGCCAGGCTGGAGTGCGGGGGGCGGGCCCAGGGGGGTGGGCG